AGGGGAACACATATCACTAGGGATATATGTTTCCGAGGTAGGGGAACACATATCACCAGGGATATGTGTTTCCCAGTTGGGGGAACACATATCACCAGGGATATGTGTTTGCCAGGTTGGGGAACACATATCACTAGGGATATGTGTTTCTTAGGTGGAGGAACACATTTCACTAGGGATATGTGTTTCCCAGGGAGGAGAACATATATCACTAGGGATACGTGTTTCCCACTTAGGAGAACATGTATCACTAGGGATTCGTGTTTCCCAGGTGGGGGAACACATATCACTAGGGATATGTCTTTTCCAGATAGGGGAACACATATCACTAGGGATATGTGTTTCCCAGGTAGGGGAACACATATTGCTAGGGATATGTGTTTCCCAGGTAGGGGAACATAAATCATTAGGATATGCGTTTCTAAGGTAGGGGAGCACATATCAGTAGAGATATGTGTGTGCTAGGTTACAGGCGGCAAAAACCATAAAGTAGCCTGTGATAGCGCCGGTCGCCGGCGCATTTTGACAACCCTGCACATGTTTAGAAAGAGTTAACAAGTTTTAACATCTTGGGTTCCTCCTAGACAACACCCTATCTTGGAAGGACTACATAAAATATATTGGTAAAAAGATCTCGTCTTGATTAGGTATTCTGTGTCGAGCACGTAAGGTTCTTCCCAAGCCAACTTGTCAAATGCTATACAATACTTAAGTCTTGCCATTGTTTGATTACTGTTCACCTGTCTGGGATAAGCTAAATAGACGTGCCGCATGTATTATTGAAGGTCAATCTATCAGGGCTGAAGAGTTAAAATTAACACTTGGCTGGCCCAGTCTACAAGCACGCAGAAATTATCTCAAATGCGTCTTAGTCCATAAGTGTCTTCACGGAATAGTGCCTTCGTACTTACTTACAGGGTTTAGGCACGTGCACGTTTCTATGGCTATAACACCAGAAGCCATGATTTGCTGCACCCTCCCTTCGCAAAAAACTACTAAATACCAAGTCAGCTTCAGAATAAATGGTGCTCGGACTTACAACACCCTACCGAGAATCATTAGACAAGTAGAGACCCTCAGTGAATTTAAAATCAAGCTAAAGTGCCATTTTAAACAGTAATGCCTAGGGCAGGGCTGTGCTCTAGCAGAGCCCGGTGGCCCCTGGCACCTAACTTTTGCCCTCAGGCGACTAGAAAATCTCAAATTTTTCATGCAAATCATATGCTGGGCACCCTAGATTATAATGTTTCAGAGCACTGGGCTCTCTTCAATTTTTCTTAGAGTACAGCCTCGTAGGGTACATGTTGCCTTTGTAACTTAATTAATTGTCTAGTGTTAATGTTTTAATGTCTTTGTTTTTGTGTTGTGTCAGGGTTCCATTTAAACTAGCTCTGTTAAATTGGATGCCCCTGGATAAATATTGATTAAAATAAAAATAAAATAAATAAATAATGTTTCAGCTTACAATGTAACTTCTAATCAAGAAACCTGAAAAAGATTTGCGCTTTAAGGATGTGTGGAGGGGTTTTTGGAAAATTGTGCATACCTTTTTCTACAAAAATCCTAGCTATGTCCCTGTGTTTTATTGCTGAAGGGTATTTTAAATGTTTATTATCATACTTGAGACAAGAGTTAATTCTCTACTGTAGAGTTAATGGCTTAAGAACAAGCATTGTTTGGATTTGGTCATTAGACATAAAGCAGATATTATACACGATATCCAAATATCTATAAGTGGGTTTAAGAAAGGAGTGACAGCCATTAGTTTTTAAGCTATTGTGCCGTTAAATGGAACATTATCACACCTAAGTCCTGACATTATTTCAAAACACCATTTTTTTAAGGTCACTTATTGTCAAAGTGTTCCCACTTCTTATATCTAAATGGCTGATCCTCTCCATCTAGGAAATGTCATTATCCTTTATTCATGTTCATAAGGTGTTTAAATATGGATTGCAAGAAGTGTTGCGATTTTTTGCAAGAAGTGACTATCATATCAGCACCAGTTTATGTGCTGATAAAAATGGTTTATTTATTTTTTCAGGCAGAAAAAGACAACGAGGCAAACTGGTCAGAGTAGATCAACCGATAAATGCGAGACAAACCGCGTAAAGCATTGCTTTGTGAAATCAACAACAGTCAAAGCGTCGACTTGAACATCGTTTTCACATCGTAAAACAACTACCATTTCACTTTGCACCGCAGCAGATTCAAGAGTAGAACAAAACAGGTAAGATTTTATCTCTTTTTTAATTTCCATTTGTAGTTTACAAATAAGAGCTTGGGTTCCCTATGGTTTGCATGCTGTCAGGAAAGATTTATTAGTAATAGTTACTCTATCTATTACCCAGCCTGGGAGATCACTGAGGGTGCTTTGCATCTGTCAGAACTTGCTGGCCAGACCATTCTTGTCCTAATGAGAATTTCACTTTTAATCAAAACTATTCAGTCAGACATATCCTAAATAGCATGCATGAAGGAGATGGTTTTTTTCGGCAAAAACTCTTCGTAAAAACGTATTTCATTGTCAAAATGACCAGTCCAGCCATGGACCAGCCAGCCAGTTCTGACTTTATGAAAGCGCCCCGAGTGTGGGGTTAATCTGGCTCAGGGTTTTTCTCTGATGAGGAAGTGCACATTTGTTGTGGTTATAATCACCCAGCTGTTGTTGCACAGCCATTTTATTAGTAATTGCTGATCTTACTTTTCTTAAAAAATTAATGTCTTCACAAGCCAACATAAAGCTGTTGTCAGGTCACAAAATTTAATAATTACTTAAGTATAGAAAGTACCTAAATATTGCAGGCAAATCTTTTTGTTAAAATCTTCAATGAATTTTGAAAAGAAGGAAGACTTCATTTATTTATTCCGGTAGGAAACGATTTTGCAGAAAAATGGACATCCATGTAATCATAGGCAGGGAGAGTAATTTTTCTTTTCTACTTGACAGTCAAATTTACCTGTATTATTTCTTGTGTCTCTGGCCATTTAACAGAACCCCTCCCATTTGGTGATGTTCCTGAAGATTCTTTGCCCATCACAAGTTGGATATCAAGAAGGTTTTCTGCAATTAAAGGGATGACATCTCAAGAAGCTAGAAGGATTGTGGTCCCCCACTGGTGATTTCAGGCATTTTAGGTATTAGTTTTTGCTTTTTTTAAACTTTCTTACTTGGTATTAGACTACTAAGTGATTGCAGTTATCCCAGTCAACCTAGTTATCCTACTCATTCCAGTCATCCTGGTCCTCTTTAAATCCCAGTCACCAGTCATCCCAATCATCCAAGGCATCCCTATTATTTTAGTCATTCTAGTTATCGCACCCATCCTAGCAAGTCCTCCTAGTCAACAAAGTCACCACTGTCATGCCTGTTACCCTAGACATCTCAGTCAACCCATTCATCCTTGTCATCCCAGTCTCTGTAGTTATCATAGTTATACCAGTCATCTCAGTCATTCCAGTCATTCCAGCCACTCCAGTCATCCCAGTCATCCTAATCAACTCAGTCATCCTAATCCCCCTAGTCATCCCAGTCACCCTAGTCATCCCAGTCACCCCATTCATCCTAGTCACCCCAGTTATTCTACTTTTCCTTTTCATCACAATCATCCCTGTCACCCCTATTATCACAGTAAACCTAGTCCTCCTATTCCGCGTAGTCATGCCAGTCATCCCAGCCATCCAAGTCATTTCATTAATAGTCATCCTATTTATCCTTATCCTACGAGTCATTGCGGTCATCCGAATTGTCCCAGTCATCCTCATCGCCCATGTTATTCCAGTCATTCCAGTGACCCCTGTCATGCCAGTCATCCTCTTATCATAGTAACCCTAGTCATCTCCGTCATCCAAGTCAACCTAGTATCCCACTCATTCCATTCATCCTAATCATCTTAGTAACCCATGTGATCTCAGTCATCCTGCCGTGTGGCACAAAATTTTTGCGGGAGTTTATTTTTGTGGATTGGTGATCTTTTGTGTTTTGTGGGACCTAATTTTTGTGATAAGGACAGATTGGTTTTTCTTCCTGGGAATTAATCTTTGCAATTTTCAGAAAGTACCCAGTACCCAGCATTGATAATATTTGCATTTTTGTTAAGTACATGCAATAGAAATACATAATTATTTTCAAACAATACTATAGTATGCAGACCCTATGTAAAACCAGTAATTCATTGTATACCATTTTGTATCTGAATGAAAGAGGCAAGTTGTAATTGAACAGGCATGATTTCTTAGTACTGTATACCCTGGTCCCAGAGGTTTTTCTTGATTTTTCTTCGCGAAAGAGATCAAGAGCAAGCCGTGAAGCGGTGACAACGAGTCGCGAAAGCGACGAGGATAGAGAGAAAAACCTCTGGCTACCTTGGCCTCGAATCTCACTTTCATGCAGACGACAGCTGTCAAATGCGACAACATGTGCTTATCAGCCGCTATAAGCGGGGGTAGACCTGGGGAAATTATGTTATGAACAAACCATCTCCACTTGGGTGGTAAAGAGTGATTTGTTAATCAGGGTCAAGCTAAAGCATGTGTTAACAATGGGCGACAAGAGTCCAGGAATAAGAACACCACTTTATAAAGAAACCAACATTGTTCCAAACGACTGCTGCAGGATTTGCAGAATTTATGTAACAATAAGTGGCCGATCTAAAATCAACATTTTTGGGTATAATAACAAGGGTTTTTCACAAACATTGTCATCTGTTCTGTTCTGTTGACCCAATGCCAAAAATAATGTTGGGTAGATCTTTAAAAATAAATATTGGGTGTCCCAGGAAAATGCGAGCTGCACCGAAAATGATTACCTACTAGTACAAAGTTGTATGTTTTTTTTCCTACAAGAAAACTTTCATTCCGTGTTCGGAGATTTATATTTTGCAGCCCTAAACAAGTCAGTTTATTTAATGGAATGACAGTATTGTAACAGAAAATGGTAAATACATCGAGTCACGAGAGTCTGGTCGTCAACGTCTGGACTGCTCAAACTGGTTGCTGAGATGCCACGGTTTCGCAGTTCGCGTATATGCGAGTCCACAAGAGACTTGAGAGGACAGACAACCAAAATTATTGCATGGCGAGGGTATGAGTATCCTCTTAAGGAAAGGTACTTGCAAACAGCAGGTAACAACTGAAATATTATACACTTTCCATGTCCGGTTGATAAAATGGTGAACACATCTTTTCAACTCAAAGCGGTGAACAAAGCTTTCTTTTGTTGCTCAGTGAGATTCATGAAAGAGCTCATCAAGTACCGAGGTCAAAATTTCTTCGAATATTCTTTCAGGAACAACATCTATGTCAAAATCTCGATACATGGCGTGCCTTTACGTGCCTTGGTCCTGTGCAAATGTTATTGCGAGTGCAGTATACAAACAATTTTTCTTCCCTGGTAGAGAGAGGCAAAATTTACCTTCAGGAATAAGGTGTGAAAATCCTCAGCGTCCCCTCGGTAGTTACAATTAAACAAGCCAATCAAATTGGTTTGTGTGTCTGAAAAAATATCAACCAATCAAGGCCAAGGTAACCAGAGGTTTTTCTCTCTCTCCTTGTCACTTTTGCGACTCGTTGTCCCCGCTTCGCGGCTTGCTCTTGATCTCGAAGAAAAATCAAGAAAAACCTCTGGGACCAGGGTAAGTACTGTATTTTTGTGTAGCGAATTTAAGTTAGAGAATATTTACTCTGAAGTAAATTTTTGCGGGAAAAATGTTTGCAGTAATTTTTATTTGCGACAACTTATTTTTGCTGATCGTTGGAAAAATTACAAAAAACACAAAAATTAGAACCTGCAAAAATTTTTTGCCACACGGTCGTCATCCTATCAATCCTATTCACCCCAGTCATACCAGACACCCTTGTCATCTCAGTTATCTCATCATCACAGTTTTTCTAGTTATCCTTGTCATCACAGTCATCTCAGTCACCTAGCTAAGTCATCCTAATCATCCACGTCAGTCCTGTCATCCCTGTGACTCCAGTTACCTAGTCATCCCAGTAACCCTAGTCTCCCCTGTCATCCTAGGTATCCCTGTCATCACAGTTATCACAGTCACCATAGTTATCTCAATTATGTTATCACTCCATTCATCCCAGTCGCCCCGGTTATTCTACTTGTCCTTTTCATCACAATCGTCCTTGTCACGCCTGGTATAACAGTAAATCAAGTCAGCCTATTCATCCTAGTCATGCTAGTTGTCCTAGTCATGCCAGTCATCCCAACCATCCAAGTCATCTCATTAATACTCATCCTAATCCTGCAAGTCATTCCAGTCATCCAAAGCGTCCCAGTCATCCCAGTCATATTAGTCATCCCAGTCATCCCAGCCATCCAACTCATCTAATCAATAGTTATCCTATTCATCCTAATCAAGCAAGTCATCCCAGTCATCCAAGTCATCCCAATCATCCCAGCCATCCAAGTCATCTCATTAATAGTCATCCTATTCATCCTAAGATTTTCATTCAAGTCATCCTGGTCATCCAAATCATCCCAGTGACCCCTGTCATCCCAGTCATGTTCTCATCATAGTTATTCTAGTCGTACCAGTCATCCCAGTCATCCTTGTTATCTCAGTTATCCCAGTAACCCTAGTCATCCAAGTCATCCTAGTATCCCACTTATTCCCTTCATCCTATTCATCTTAGTCACCCCGGTGATCCCACTTGTCCTAGTCATTCCCTTTATCCTTGTCATCCTAGTCATTCCAGTCATTCCAGGCATCAGAATCATTCCAGTCACCCCTGTCAACATGGTCATCCGAGTAACACTAGTCATCCTATCGATCCTGGTCATGAAAGTCATTCCAGCCATCCTAGTACTCCCACTTATCCCAATCATCCCAGTCACCCTAGTCATCTCAGTTATTCTACCTATCCTTTTCATCCCAGTCACCCCTGTTATCCTAGTTATTATAGTTATCCCAGCAGCATTGGTCGTCCCAGTCATCCTGGTTATCTCAGTTATCACAGTTACCCTAGTCATCCAAGTCATCCCAGTCAACCTAGTCACCCAAGTCATCCCAATCATCCTAGTCATCACAGTTTTCCCAGTCATCACAATTATCCCAGTCGTCCCAGTCACCTTAGCCATCCCAGCCATCTGTGTCACCCTAGTCATCCTGTTCAACCCAGTCCTCCTAGTCATCTCAGTAATCTTAATCCTTCTAGTCATTCCAGTCATCCAGATCATTCCAGTCATCCCAGCCATCCAAGTCATCTCTCTAATAGTCATCCTATTCATCCTAATCATGCTAGTCATCCTAGTCATCCCATTCATCCTAGTCATCCCAGCCATCCAAGACATCTCATTAATAGTCATCCTATTCATCCTAATCATGCAAGTCATCCTGGTCATCCAAATCATCCCAGTGACCCCTGTCATCCCAGTCATCCTCTCATCATAGTTATTCTAGTCATACCAGTCATCTCAGTCATCTTGGTTCTCTCAGTTATCCCAGTGACCCTTGTCATCCAAATCATTCCAGTATCCCACCCATTCCATTCATCCTAGTAATCTTAGTCATCCTGATGATACCACTCATCCTAGTCATTCCCTTTATCCTTGTCATCTTAGTCATTCCAGTCATTCCAGGCATCCGAATCATTTCAGTCAATCCAGCTATCCTAGTCATCATATTCATCCAGTCATACCAGACACCCTTGTCATCTCAGTTATCTCATCATCCTATTCATCCCAGTTTTTTCTAGTCATCCTTGTCATCACAGTCATCCCAGTCACCTATCTAATTCATCCTTATTGTTTGTTTGTTTATTTTTTCCTCCATTTTTTATTTTACGAGCCATTTATATTGTATTATGAGACTGAAGAATTAAAGATGCTATTTCTAGAATTAAATATCAGGTTACAAGAATAAATGGACAGGGCAGGATATAGTTAAACTAATTACTTGCCCTTTGATTAAAGTACAGTTTTATTTAGGTTAAAAGAGAAAAAAAGAGAAAAGTACAAACCCTATAAACTATGAAAAATATACAAAAGAGAGGAAAAAAGAAAAGCACATACACACACACATAAAAAATGTAACATTTGAGAGTCGGTGTGGCTATGATTAATACTGAGCAAGATAATAGTTGAAAAGTGCTCTTTTAAACAATGTTTTAGTTGTTTGTTATCCCAGTCAACTCAGTCTTTCTCATCATCCCAGTAATCCTAGTCTTCCCAGTCATTCAAGCCATCCCAGTCACTCCCATCATCCCTGTCACCCCAATCATCCCAGTCAACTCAGTCCTTCTAGTCATCCCAGTAATCCTAGTCTTCCCAGTCATCCCAGTCACTCCAGTCATCCCAGTCACTCTAGTCAAAGTCAGAGTTCACATGCACCTATTAACTCCTTGAAAGTAGTCCCTGTATTTCAGTGCTTACTTTATCCAACCCAGATTCTCAAGTGCCTAAAAGGAGCAAACACACAGAGACCTTTAGGATAAAAATTAAAATTGCAGTGATGTTGTGGAAGAACCTAAAAAATGACATATACTCAAGGCTATGATTGGAATCCTTGAAGAAAAGGAAATTTGTCCTTGAAAAGTCCTTAAAAAGTCCTTGAATTTTTTGTTCAAAACAGGATACGAACCTTGCAACCAAGTCATCCTGCAGTCATTCTAGTCATCCCTGTCATCCCAGTGACTCCCTGTCATCCCAGTCATCCTCTCGTCCTAGTTACTCTGGTCATACCAGACATCCCAGTCATCCTGGTTATCTCACTTATCCCAGTAACCCTAGTCATCCAAGTCATCCTGCTCATTTCAGTTACCCTAATCATCTCAGTCAGCCCAGTTATCCCAGTCATCCTAGTCATCTTATTCATCCCAGTCATACCAGACACCCTAGTCATCTCAGTTATCTCATTGCTGTAGTCATCCTAGTCACTCAAGTTCTTTGACGTATCCTTTTCATCACAGACATCCCAGTCACCCCTGTCAACATAGTCCCAGGTGTCCTAGTCATCACAGTAATACTAGTCATCCTTTTGATCCTGGTCATGCAAGTCATTCCAGCCATCCTAGTAATCCCATGTATCCCAATCATCCCAGTCACCCTAGTCATCTCAGTTATTCACCTATCCTTTTCATCCCAGTCACCCCTGTTATCCTAGTTATTCTAGTTATCCCAGCAGCATTGATCATCTGAGGCATCCTGGCTATCTCAGTTATCGCAGTTACCCTAGTCATCCAGGTTATCCCAATCATCCAAGTCCTAGTATACTAGTCATCCCAATCATCCTAGTCATCACAGTTTTTCTAGTTATCCCTGTCATCACAGTTATCCCAGTCATCACAATTATTCCAGTCGTCCCAGTCACCTAAGTCATTCTAATCATTCCAGTCACCTTAGCCATCCTAGCCATCTGTGTCACCCCAGTCATCCTGTTCAACCCAGTCCTCCTAGTCATCTCAGTAATCTTAATCCCCCTGGTCATTCCGGTGATCCAGATCATCCCAGTCATTCCAGTCATCCTAGCCATCCTAGTTATCCCAGTCATCACAGTCATCCCATTCACCCTTGCCATCCTAAGCATCCCAGTCATTCTAGTCATCCCAGTTACCCCACTCATACCAGGCATCCCAGTCACCTCAGTCATCTTAGTCATCCCAGTTATCAAAGTTATTCAGGTCACCCTGGTTACCTCATTACTCATCTTATTCTTTGCAGTCAGTCTTGTAGTCTTTTTAAGGGATGCACATGTGCACCATGTGTTCTTCCTATGAAACCATTTACATTTGTGACTCAATCTTAGACATTGAACTACTGGTACATCCCTTGCTTAACTGAAAATGAATTCTTATTTTTTCTTAGGCTGAAAAGAACAACAGATTTGGCAAAGTAGTCAGCGACTCAGTCATCAATGCCTCCATACAGGAGTTCAAAAGCCAACAGTGAAGAGGCTGTGATCACTAGAGGATGGTATCATCAAAGTCAACTCATTATTAATACTTAGTTTAGTATTTATATAATCATATAATTTATTACTTACAGTTACAGTCAGTAACCTGCCTCAACACAGGTACTTGGTTTTAGAATATTTCTGACCCTGCCCGGGAGGTCATTGAATGCGGGGTACAGCTGGCCCGGGGTTTTCCTCCTAGGAGCAAGTGGACGTACGGGGAGGTTTTTCACCCAGCTGTTGTTCCACAACCCCCATTCAACAGCAATTAGGCAAATTCATTCAGTTTGGCAGAGAAAAAAAAAACACCAAAAACAAAAAACAAAAACCGAAGAATATTGACTTTCTCTACAAATAAGACTTCATGCATTAGTCAAAACAGGTCCATGGTATTCCCAACAGGAGTGAATTGATTCACTTACAATATTTTTCCTTTGAATTCTACCCGTAATTTACAGCTTTCCAAATTCAAAGACAATCTACTTTTTTTTTCCAGTCAAAGTTCAATCACTTTAGGATCTTCAGCACATTTCACCTGTAGAGTAGATTGCTGCATATGTAGTGAGGTCAAATTTTCATTAGGAATTCTGTACTTCACTATTGGAGGGAATACTTAAGGTATCTGTACTACAAGAAGAATGATATATGTGTGTGTGCCACCATATTAATTTTGTACAAATAAGTGTCACTGAGGTAATTTTTTCAACAGCTTCTTTATTTTTTAAAGTAAATGAGTCACCATCCAGTTCAATTTAGCAACTGGAGAGGGGCTTATTTTCAAAGTTTTCCTAAATTAAGCAAGTTTTGTTTTCAAATTGGATTATTTTGTTCCAAAAAAAATTCATATTTAGGCAAAATTTGAAAATAAATCTAGAGGCTTATTTGTGCTGCTTACAAATTAAGTTCAAACACAAGATTCCTTTGAGTATTACATATGTCATTCAATTTTACAAAGGAGATCCACCTCTGGGAAGAAAAGGGAAAAGGGCTCATTCTTGCGAGACAATGGTAAATGAAACACTGCGGCCAAGGAAAATTATATTCATTAGGGATTATAAATGACATTTCCTCAGGATTTGGCAATTTTATCAAAGATGAGACACAATATTTCATCCGCTAACTAGATACAGAGAAATTTTTTCAAAAACTAATCTTAGACCAGTTTGGTGTGGTAAACAATAGCAAAATTGAGCTGAACTAATTTTGGTACGGGCTAAGGGTTCAGGGTCCCAGTGACACATCCCCACCCAAAAATTCATAAAGTACCCCCCTCCCCAGGCTTCGTTCTTCACTGCTCAAAGGAAATCTTGCTAAAATAATAGTGATCATGATATCATAATAATATTTAATATAAAGTTATAGTTGTTGGGTGGGCAAGGTTACATAAAACCGTAAAAGCTCAATTAAGCCCCTATCTGCCTTTTAAGGAGGGTTGGAGGAGTTAGAGGTAGGGGAGGGGGATAAAAGATTGGGGTGATGGGGGCGGGGATATTTTTTATCTCAATAATAGGAGGAAATAAGAAAGAAGGGAAAAGGTGGTCATTTTGATCGATAATCTTCTACAAACTGGCAAAATGTTCTTGTATTGGTTTGATGGAAATCAGTTCCTGACATTTCCTGCAAAAGGAATGGCTTTCAAGGTAAGTTGTGGAGGATGTAATAATAGGGGGGTCAAGTTACAAAGTTAATGTAGTCTTCAAAAAATAGAGGCTGTGATCAATGATGGGTAGGGGGAAGGCTGGGGCTTATAGAGCTTTTGTCGCATGTACAGTTGTTGACATTGTGCTGCCAGTGTAGGTGGGAGTGGCCTAGTTTACCGTGTAATTGTCTGCGACTACCAGTCCAAATACACTAGCCATTCACTGACTTTCATTTTCTTAGAACAGTGGGAAGCACAATGTTGCCTGTATCTTTAGAGGCATGGGAAGCATTACCACCTTATCAAAGCAAACATTAATCACAGGCAGTATTTTTTCACTTTGCTTTAATTTTATTCCTTTTGTTAAAGTTCGCCACACACTCAATAATTATTCTTTTCATAGGTTCACCTTCTATTGGAACTCGTCTTTGTTATAAGAGCTGTTGTGCTTCCTGTGTTATCTTAACACAGTGGAACTATGATTTTTGAACCTCCTGTGAAAATGGAGAAAACTAGGAGTTAAAAGAATTAGAGAGATATTTAGATTCGTTTTTCTTGCCATTTTCTGTTTGAGAAAGCCTAAGGCGAAATAAAAAAAGCGACTTCAGGGGAAGGAAAACAAGTTTTAATTTGAATAATCAAGAGGTTCAAAAGAGCAGGATTCCACTTATACTGTATTAGTGTTAATTTAATGCTAGAATTAGACAATCTACAGCAAGCTCATTAGCACAATATTAGCTCTAAACCTCCTAAGTAACATATTACTTTAGCCAAGGACTATAGAGGCTGCAAGAAATATTAGCACTGTACAGGTATACATCTTTAAGTTTTCAGGACAACGTCCTCACAACACAGATAACTTATGAGCTATAATATGATTATATGGGTGGAATGTAGACACCTTAGCGATAAAACTTAGAATGATTCTCTATTAAGGAAAAGATAAGCTTGAGCTTTGTCAGCCAAGGCATCTCTCTGGAAGCTCCAGCTGGAATGCTTCTACACTTGTAGGCTACAAAGCACAGTATGGATAAGAATATGAAAGCAATTAACCACAGTGACCTTGATCCTTGAGGTCCCAATATTAATTGAGAAATTCTCCTTACTGCTCCTTCTTACCTCTCTTATGGTACTAGTAAGGAGATTTTATTTAAGTATCAAGTAGGTATAGTGTCATTTTTGTTTGATTATTAATAAGTTGATGATAGATTTTGGTCTCTGTTGGGACTTCAAAGTTAGGTCGGTGCACAAAGGATTTTGCCATCTTCAGATTAATTAAAAAAGAACTCAAAAGTAACTGGAAATTCTTAACAAACAGTGAGCCTGGGAAAAATCTTAGGAAAATTAGGATCTTAAGTATTATAATGTAAAGTAGATTATTCATAAGCTTACATGTACATAAAATCTAAGGCAATCTCCAGTCTGCTTCTGCTTGGTTTTTTTTCTAGGCAACTTGAATAAGAACTGATGTTTTTTCAAATTACTGATAATTTCAAAACCAAAACAATTTTTTTTTAAAATTACGTTTTGAGAACTTATTCTTCTACACAGGTTTCACAGACTGCAGACTATTGATTGCATTTGTATTCTATTTAAATATACTAATTTTCTTGGTGTTGCATTTGCCCTCTGGAATCTTTTTTCAATTTTCATAGGTTTTCAGAAGTCCTGGCATGTTAGTTTTAGGAATTTACTCCTTGGCATTCTTTTTATTTCCATTTTTATGCACATAACCAAAGCATTAGTTGAATGCATGTTTACATTACGAGGTGACTTGTAGCACCAAGAAATATCAAGTTTTGTTTAATATGCTAATGAGCTTGCTTTAGTTATCTTAATATTATTAATTTTTTGTTGGTCTTGCTTTAGCAAAGCCTTTGTAAACAGCTGACTTTTCGAGATGCTATCGCTGGTTTCCCCGCAAAATTACCTGAAAATGAGGAATGAGCACGGAAATTCTACCCAGATCTGGGTAGTGACACGTCATTAGTATAGAATTTCTTCACTTATTCTTCATTTTTGGGTCATTTCATGGGGAAACCAGTGGTGTCGTTAAGAAATATTGGTTGTTTTCTTAGGCCATTAGCTTTTCATTATTATTTTTTAAGTTTTTATTTAATTTCAGACCTCAGGTGGCACACGCACAAGATTAGGAGCCCATCACTTGGGAAAGGTCATGTTTAAATCTAGCCAACCTCGTCCCTGCTGGGCTGTGGAAGCTCTGCCTCTGAGAAGGTGTGAATTCTGATGTCCTCTGAGATATTTCAACTGAGAAATCCTGGGAAACTTTATCTGATCCTGTAATTCATGCTGGGGGCAGTTGGACACTTGGAAGATTTGGCCGTTTGTTCCCAAGTGGGGAGGACAGCGTGAAGGAAGGTGAGAGTTTGCTTCTCATGTTTTTAGGGTTTCATTCATTTTGTTATAATACCACACCTTTTTCCAAAAAAATAAATAGATAACCATTTCGACCAAGAAAGTTGCTTGTCGGCAAACAATATGTCTGGGAATGTTTCACTGTTGAGGATGAAAAACGGGGGTGCAAGAACGTGCTCCCCGGCTCACGCAGTAGGTGTGTCGAAGGATGATTCGAGGGCAGAGAATTGAGCACTGAATCTCACTGGCCTGGCTTGGGTGGATTTTCACAAATGACATCAAATTGAGCTGATAGTCAGTAAGAATCTCTCTAATGGGGACAACTGGTTAACGACTTCTCTTCTAAACCTAAAGCTTTTGATGTCCTAACAATAAATAGCTATCCAAAATATTTCACAAAAACAAAAATAGCATATAAGTCATTTCCACAATTGCCAAATTTTGTACTGATATATTTTGACTAGCTGAAAATTTAACTTAAACCGTAAAAACGAAGCAACGCTCGTAAATAGGTCCAAATTTATTTGATTCCATCTTTTTCCTACCTGAGAATGGCTCAGATTATAACAAATTTGAAAACAAAAATAGCATATAAATCATTTCCATAATTGCCAAATTTTGTACTGAGATATATTGACTAGCTGAAAATTTAACTTAAACCGTAAAAACGAAGCAACGCTCCTAAATAGGTCCAAATTTATTTGATTCCACCTTTTCCCACCTCAGATTATAACAAATTTATCAAAACTAGGTTTAGGTTACATCAACATTTTTTTTTTTTGCCTGTTGTTTTTTGGTTAACTGAAAACAATAGGCAAACAAACATGGCTGTTGATGATAGACTAATAATATCAGCTTTAGATATTAAACCATTTTCGAAATAAGGAAAGACTTGATTAATCAGACAGCTGTGGTAGTCTGCTCTATATCCTTAATTTGTATGAAGGGCATAGAATAGATTTCCTTGGGCTGTGTGAAAAA